GTGCATGTGTATGAGTGAGAGTACACACACACATACACACACACACATGCAGATAGATAGATAGATAGATAGATAGATAGATGACAGATACTTGATATAGATGTATAGACAGACACAGATGAAAGAGATAGATAGATAGTAGATAGATAGATAGATAGATAGATAGGTAGATATATAGATAGATAGGTAGATAGATAGATAGATAGATAGATAGATAGATAGATAAAAGAAAAATGATTGAGATGGATGGATGGAAGAGAAAGTGATAGATATAAGGGTGATAGAGGTAGAGAGATAGATGAGAGATAGAGAGATAGACTTGATATAGATATATAGATAGACACAGATGAAAGAGATAGATAGATAGTAGATTGACAGATGATAGATAGATAGAGAGAGAGAGAGAGAGAGAAAGAGAGAGAGAGAGAGAGAGAGAGAGATACTGTAGATATACATAAATAATTCCAGGTCATAAGTGGATTACGGGGGTCTGCGTAGCGCTTCCAGGGTCTTCTGAGCTCAGGCCCCTCCCAATGAGGTGGCACCTGCCCCCCCCCCCGCCCTGGGGCTGTCCCCCTGCCCGCTTACCTACTGGTTCCCTTTTTGTCTCTCTTAGTGACCGCTTGTCCAGACCCTGGAGACGTGGAGCACAGCCGTCGCGTGGTCTCCGCCAACAAATTCCCGGTGGGCTCCGCCATCCAGTTCCTCTGCGACAAGGGCTTCCTCCTGGCCGGCGCCGGGGAGATCGTTTGCCACGACCGGCCGGGCGGCGGTCCAAAGTGGAGTGACCGGCTGCCCAAATGCATCCGTAAGCTGAGTCTGGGGGGGGTCTCCCTGCCTGGAGGGAGGGCGAGGAACTAGCCAGAGGGGGGGCAGGAGCCTTGGATGGTGACCAGAGGCCAAAGAAATACAGGCAGTCCTCGACTTACGACCATGGATTCATTCAGTGACCATCCAAAGTTCCTCGAAAAAAGTGTCTTACGACCGTTTTTCACACTTACGACCTCCCCGTGGTCACATGATTAACAACCATGTTACTTACTTAACAACAGTGGCAAGAAAAGCCATTAAAACGGGACAAAACTCACCCACCGTCTTGCTTAGTGATGGAAATGTTGGCCTCGGTTGTGGTCATAAGTTTGAGGACGACCTGCAGTGATTTAGAAAATGACCCTCGGGCTGAAATTTAGTCCAAGGATCATTTTCTAAACCAGTAGAGTTAGTCCTCAAACTTACGACCACAACGGAGCCCAATATTTGTGTTGCTAATTTATGTTGCTAATACATTGAGTCTTGCCCCATTTCGTGACCTTTCTGGACATGGTTCTTAAGTGAATCCCTGTAGTTGTTAATGTTGTTAAGTGAATCATTCACTTTGCTTGTCAAACGGTCACAAAAGAGAACAGGGGACCCTGGGAACCTGCGACCATCATAACTGTGAGTCAGTTGCCAAGTGTCGGAATGTTGATCACGTGACCAGGGGGATACTGCACCGGTCGTAAGTGTGGAAAACGGTCCTAAGTCCCTTTTTTCATGCCATTGTAACTTCGGTCACTAAATGAACGGTTGTACAGGAGAGGACTAGCCGTATTTCTCACTCAGTAACAACTTTATGATGGGTGGACTTCAACTCCCAGAATTCTCCAGCCAGCACAGGAATTCTGGGAGTTGGAGTCCACCCATCGTAAAGTTGCAAGGTTGAGAAACACTATTTTTTAAAAAAACTGTTTCTCCTGAGTAAAATAAATCTAAAAAAAAAATCAAGGAGGAAAATCAGAACCAGGCCAGAAAGGAGTTCAAATCTATCCGAATGCACAGGGTGTAACTATGTGAGACCACCCGGGAGCAAACAGAGTAAACAAAAGTTTGCATTTTAAATAGTGCTTCTATCTACAAAGAATATATACACACATGTTATGTCTCACCTGTATTCACAGGTGAGCAATCAAAATTCTAAAGTTCCAAAAATATAAGCAACCAAAAACAAACCCCAACGAAGAGAACTGCTGAGGTTTTTTCCAGTCCTCAGCAGTAATTCTGAAATCTGTTTGGCAAAGCTGAAGTGCCTATAAATCACAATGCCTCAGATAATCTTCACAGTACTTTCGCTCTAACAAGACACTTTGCTTCTGGCAAATTTCTCAAGCCGATCCGTTTCCTTTTATCCCCTAAGCGGGCGTGTTAGTCTCATTACTTAATCACTGGCTTGACGCTTCTTTCCCAATTGAGATTGACGTCTCAATCTCCGTCTATTTCTCACGTCAAGCCAAGATCCCTCAAAGTCCTCCTCCTCACTTGAAACCTCTCTCACGTTTTCCTGATTATCTGTTCCCGGCTGCTGTGTAATCAGAGAGGGAGATTCGGCGGAGGAGTCTGACACCTTCAATAAATTAGGTTCATCTCTCATAGCTAAGTCCACTTCCTCATCCTGGCTACCTTCAAAATCACTCAACAATGCAGGCTCAAATCTCAGTGCCAGGTCTTCTTCACTCGAGCTCCCATCTGCTGACGGACCAGATTCAAATCCCGGAGTCACAACACACACACTTTAGTCAGACCTCAAACAAACAGCAGTCAGCAATTACAGCACATATGGAGAGAGAGATACTCCCCAACAGGGCCTTTTCTTATTAAAGGCTCTTAAAGTGATATCGGCCCAAAAACCTTGCTGACTCGTTTCCCAGCATTACATCATCTTAGCAACTGGTCAGCTCTTAAATTATTACCCTGAGAGAATGAATGAATATTCAATGAATGACTGTTCAGTGAATGAATGTATCAGAGTGCGCACAGTGTGATTATGTGAGACAACCCAGGAGCAAATACAGTAAACAGGTTTTCATTTAAATAGTGGTTTTATCCAGGGGTGGGATTCTAACAGTTCACACCTATTCGCTAGAACCGGTTGTTAATATTCTAAGCAGTTTGGAGAACCGGTTGTTAGAAGAAATTACAGGGCTAATCCTGTAAGGAAGGCAGGAAGGAAACATTCTGGGGTTGCTTACAGAAACTGCCTCTCTGATAATCCTTATTACATTCTTGGCAGGACTAGACTTCCTGTCTCTGGAATGTCTCTGGAGTTATTTTCCCCTCCTTTGCTGGTCCTTTGCTTGTGTGGAGTGACCCTTCAAAGCTACAATGGCACTGAAAAAAGTGACTTATGACCGTTTTTCACACTTACGACTGTTGCAGCATCCGCACAGTTATGAAAGGCCAGGCAAGGAGATGCGTGTCTCGATGTGAGTGATGTTGAGTTAGCCACACCCAGCCAATAACATGAGCACCAAGCCATGTCCACCCAGTCACATGACCACCAAGCCACACCTACCACCTAAGCCACGCCCACAGAACCAGTTATTTAAAAAAAAGGAATCCCACCCCTGGTTTTAAATACGAAGAAAGTGTACATACACATACTTTAGTCAGACTTCAAACAAACAGCAATCAGTAATAATGCACACATGGAAAGATAGATACATCCCAATAGGGCCTCCTATTACAGGTTCTTAAAGTGATATCGCCCCAAAAACCTTACTGACCCGTTCCCATCATCCTAGCAGCTGGTCAGCTCTTAGATCCTTACCCTGAGAGAATCCTGCCGTTCTCTTCTTTCAGCCGAGGTCTACGAACCCTGCACCAATCCGGGCGGACCTGAACACAGCACTCAGCACCCCGAAAAGCGGCTCTACCAAACCGGGACCACCCTGCGCTTCACCTGTGCCACTGGCTACCTGCCACTGGGCAACGCCATCCTCCGATGCCTGCCTGGGCACCCCTCACGCTGGAGCAGCCCTCCCCCGCTTTGCAAAGCTGGTCAGTCTCCGTGGGGGTGTCGTGGGGGGGGGGGAGGGTAAGCTATCCGGAATCCTCTACTCCAGTGACGGCGAACCTTTTGGTTGTGCGCCAAAAGCCAGGGGTGGGATTCAAATGGTTTAACAACCGGTTCTGTGGGCGTGGGTTAGGTGGTGGGCGTGGTTTGGTGGTCATGTGACCGGGTGGGTGTGGCTTGGTGGTCATCTTATTGGCTGGGCGTGCAATGCCCCCCCCCACCCCCCCCCCCCCGCTCTGCTTCCTTTCTAGTTTCCCACGATGAGTTTTATGCCAACCCGAAACTGGACGGTAAGGCGGGGAGGATCCCCAAAAACGTCCTTTGGCCAGGAGGCTTCCCTACCAACCCTCCCCCTTCTAAGGGACGAGCTTTTGGGGGTCCCGCTCTCCCTCCCCCTCTGCTGCCCTGCAGGGGACCCCTTCCCCCCCCCAAACTCAGCCTCCCGTGTCCTCCTGCAGCTGTGGCCAAAGTGATGCCCGCCAGGGACCCCTTGAGAGGCTCCAGCGTGGCCTTTGAGGTCTTCCTACCCGTGGCTGCCGTTGGGCTTCTCCTGGGCACCGTCTACCTGTGCATTTCCAGGTGAGCTGCGGTGGCTGGAGAGCTTGACCGGAAGGGGGTGGGGGGGGGACATAGCCCCCTCCCCCCTCCCCATGTGTGTCTTGACCGCAGTCTCCTTCTCTCCTCTGGGGCTGCCCAGGCATCAGGGGAAGATGTCGCTGCCGGCCCCTCTGTCCGCTTCACACGCCTACGGCCACCACATGGCGGATGATTCGGCTTTTGACAACCCCATCTATGAGACTGGAGTAAGTGGGGGGGGGCTTCTGGTCCCGGTTGCGCCAAGTCGGGCGAGAGGAGGGTCCACGGAGTGGGATATAGGGGTGTGGGTGTGTTTGGAGGGGGAGAAAGAAAGATGGAGAGGGAGAGAGAGAGAATGAGGAGGAGAGGGAGAGAGAGATGGAGAGGGAGAGAGAGAGAGGGAGAGAGAGAATGAGGGGGAGAGAGAGGGGGAGAGAGAGATGGGGAGAGAAGGAGAGAGAGGGAGAGGGAAGGAGAGAGGGAGAGAAAGAGGGAGAGAGAGAGAGATGCAGACAAAGGGAAAGAGGAGAGTGGGAGGGGGAGGGAGATAGAAAGAAGGAGAGAGGGAGGGAAGGAGAGAGAGAGAGAGAGAGAAAGAGGCAGAGAGAAGGAGAGAGAAAGAGGGAGAGAGGGAGGGAAGGGGAGAGAGAAAGAGAAAGAGGGAGAGAGAGGGAGGGAGAGAGATGGAGGGAAAGGGAGGGAGAGAAGGAAGGAGAGAGGGATGGAGAGAGAGAAGGACAGAGAGAGAAAGAGGGACAGAGTAACTTCGCTTTCAATACTAGAACTCACCGTCTCCTGGTGATTAGCTAGGTGACTTTGGACCAGTCACTGGGAGACCCCCACACACACACACACTCTGTTTTGGGGGGAGGGGCTGCCACCTTGAACTCGTCCCTTGGGGTGAGGGTGGGGGGGGGCTGAGAGGCCGACCCCCAAGGGCCCAACCTTCTGCAGGTTTTTCTCTCCGCAGGAGATCCCAGCGGCAGCCTATGAAGTCTCCATCTAGGGCAGAAGACCCCCCCCTCCAGGGAGGAGCCGGGGGGGGCAGGCCCCCCCCCCCCCCCCCCCCCCCCCCGGGTCATGGGGGCTGCCCCCCCCCCCCCCGCCCTGAGAGAGGACCTGTAAATACCTCCCAGCCGGACCTTCCTGGGACCAGCCTCCCGCGGAGGGGAGGGGGCTGCTGACAGACAGTGCCTCCCCCTTCCAGGACCCCCACGGCAACGGCAGCAGCCCCCACCAACCCTTCCTCAGCTAGGGGTGGGGGTCTCCGGTCCTCCTGACCCCCCCCCGATGGTCCTCCCACCGTCCCTCGAGGCCTCTCTAGGAATGCTCCTCACCAAGTGATGCTTCCTGGACCATCTGCAGCAACCGTCATGGGATTCTCCGGCCCCCCCCGACCCATTTTTTCAAGGCCGGGACAAGACCACCGAACAGCCTGCTCGCCCCCCCCACTCCTCCGGCAAACTGGACCCTTCCTCTCCATCCTCCAGGCCACGGTTGTCCTCCGAGGGGCTTTCCACCCCCAACCCAACCCAACCCAAAAAAAGGCAGCCGGACGTTCTGGGTTCTGGGTTTGTTTTTACCCCCTCTTTGAAGACCTTTCGCTTTCCATCCCAGAAGCTTCTTCGGTTCTGCTCGTCCGGATGGGCTGGTTTCTGCCTTCCAAACAGGACGCCGGCCCAAAAGCAGCCCTCCCCCCCCCCCGCACGCCTGAGTTGGGGAGGACAAACTGGGCCTTCCGTCCGTCGGGAGGGCAAAGAAATAGTTCCACTTTTTCCCCCAAAACAAACAGGCGGAGGAGTCAACCGTGCGCTGGGTCTCCAGGGAGAGGTGCAGGCTTTTGCTCGGCCGAGCGTGGATGGTGTTACCTAGTAGGGTAATGAAACGTCCGCAAGAAAACCATCACAGTCAGAGAGCACCCGGGAGCCCACAGTCGTCCTTCTCCCCCCCACAAAACCTTCTAGCACTGATGATGTTACCTACTTGGGTCACGAAACGTCTGCAAGAAACCCACCCAGCTCGGAGAGCACCCAGGACCCCACAATTCTCTTCCTCCTCCTCCTCCTCCTTGCACTGATGATGTTACCTACTTGGGTTAAGAAATGTCTGCCAGAAAACCCCCGAGCTTAGAGAGCACCAAGGACTCTACAGTCTTCCTCCTCCGCCACCTTTCTGCAAACCTCACTTCCTTCTAGCACTGATCTCGTGCGGGGTTGCATTACCTAGCAGGGTAATGAAACGTCTGCAAGAAACAACCAAGCTCAGCACTAAGGACTCGTTCTCCTCCTCCTCCTCCTCCATCTCCTCTTCTTCTTCCTCCTCCTCCCATGCAAACCTTCTTCCCTTTTAGCACTGATGATGTTACCTCCTTGGGTCACAAAACGTCTGCAAGAAAACCACCCAGCTCAGAGAGCACCATGGACCCAACTATCTTCCTATTCTCTCTCCTTCCTTCCTTCCTTCCTTCCTTCCTTCCTTCCTTCCTTCCT